GATACTTTGAGTATTTTACTTTGAAATGAAAAAATATAACAGCAAGATTATTTTTATTTCAAAATATTCTTTTAATCATTTGTGATAAAATTTTCTTCCATAGTGTTTCATCCATAAATTTAAACTTGAAATTTTGTTTACTCCTAATTTTCATTCTTCTATTAAAAAATATTTCTGTAAAGAATTAAGGCCTAGCTCGTAGGCCTCCCACAGTATGCATGAGATACAAGGGATTGAGAGTTGTGTAGACCATCACATTCTCTGACTGAGCACATGTGAGGACAATACACTGCTCAAGATACCTACCTGTCACTGCAGATAATAGGCTCCAAACAGCACCAAAAGTTGAATGAAAGCATGTGTGTCGGGAGACCTAAGAAGATGCATATTTGGGTTTTGTGTAGGTTCACTAATCAGTAATGTAAAAGACCTCTTGCATCGTATTCCTGTGATTTTTTGCGCTCACAGCATAGAAGTCTGCAGAGGTTGTCCTCGCAGTTGACCCAACCACAGTCTGTGTCTAAGGCAGCCAGGAAGTGACGATTCCTCCCCAGCTGCTAGTCCTGGTCGACGTTAACCCTAGACTACTGACTATATACTCATTATGAGAACTGACGTGAAGAATTGTTTGTCCTTTGCTTCCTGCATCCTCTCGCCCTTATCGACCCTCAGCTCTAGGAGAAACTCTCAAATGGGTTCCATGTTTTGGAGTGATGTTGTGGATACAGAAATCTCAATAACTAATATAGTGTCCATGGCCAGTTACCCCTACCAGCACTCGCGGTCCCATCGGAATTGCATCCATGCTTTGAGTCATCATTCAATCCCTAGAACCCGAGTGCAGTGCTTGGAACGATGTGTGAGTGCAGCATGCCTTCAGCAATACTTTTCGAACCAATGATTGAATGAATGTAAAGAATGCGCACTGATAAGGAGAAGAGTTCACCAAAAGGAAAAAGAAAACAGTGAAGACGTATACAGGGTGTCTGCATTCAATCATACAATATCTTTCTGTAGGCCGCGGCTACAATATGCAAAAGGCTGTAATGCTCAACTCTTAGGTTTAAGATGAAATGTAAAATCGCTGCAATTTTCTTGTCCAAAAAACGGAGATGTTGTGATTTTCCCAGGAGTATTAAAAGCATAAAGGATATTATTGACTGATAGTAAGCCAAGTACCCAGACTGTACCCACCTCCGCCGAAACTTATTCCCCATAATATCTTGCTGTTGGTTGCTCCGTTGCTGCCTCTCTCCAAAACTACAAAGCTCCCTTGACATAAGCACAGCGCTCTCATACTAGATATATGTCTAAAAGAACTTTCTCTAGAATGATCTCAAAAAATAAAATTATTAAAAAAGAAGAAAAGTTTAAATATATATAATGATTTAGTGATGAATTTGGCGATCCGCATCTCCTTCTTTAGATCAAGTATTTGGGTGATCCCATTCAGGGTAACTATTCTGGATCTAGATTATAGATTCAATACAGATAATTCAACCTTCTGTATGTAACATTGTAGCCATTGTTACACTCCATTAAAAGAATAGATTCTTAAGAATGCAGCTCTCAATTGTCAAGGAAAGTTTAATTGAGAATCTAATAACTTGTTCTACTTGTACTTCTATGTAAACGGGCTGAAGAACCTTCAGGACTTCGCTTTAAGGAAAATGGTTTTGAAAACCTTTATATAATGAACAGATGTACCAATAGAATGTTTAACTTATGAACTACTTCACGTTAATATTTATGTGTTGATGCTGTATTGCAAGACACTTGGGGAATTAGTTCCTTCATACTTTTATCTGTGTATTTTAATCACTGAAGATCTCGTGCCCTTTAAATTTCGCGTATACTAGATGAGTGAAAGTACAGTTTGTCTAGTCAAGACTTCCTGCCTAAAAAGATTGTCATTAGCTTGGCTATCTAACTCACTGCTTGTTTGACTGAATATAAACTATGGCACTCTCAACTCGTACCGTAGCTATGTTTCACTAAACTGATCAGTGTTGGCTAACTGTCCAAACACATTTTTGAATACTCTGAGTTAACTCTAATAGCTGCAGAAGCTAAAGTGGCTAAAGGAGTCAAATCCGTCGTCACGTCCCTTGGGGTCTTTGATAGGCAACAGTATATTTCATGTCCATCTGCATATAGTGCTTAGATGTGGTCAGAGGTTCTGGTACCATAATTCTCTTATACCATGAGTGGCAAGTGACCTTAGCACTTCTCATGAGGTTACTAGTCCATGTGCGAAGATACACCTGTGGCATACTAATATTTCTTATACGTTTCAAATTCTGTGTAATAAAATATTTTTATTTAATAATTATACTTGGCTTAATTCATTTTAAAAATATTTGCGAGAAATTATTATGCTAACTATTACCTGTTGCGCGCGGAAGAGCGCGATGAGTCCGGGATAATTCTAATTTCGCTGGCCTCGCTCTCTATCAATTTTTTGTGCCCTCTGCACTATATTATTATCGCTAAAATTTAACTACCCATCTTACTGCACTATTACCTGAAGAATATTCTTAGTTGAGGGCTCTCTCACGCATAATGAGAATAAGGCCCTAATTCCAGTAATTTAAGAATACGAATTTGGCAAAATAATTTCCTTTTCATCAGCAGAACACTTGCTTACTCTTTACCCAATGATATTAAAGTATAGATGCAAATATTTACTAAATTTATTTTTCTCATTTTAGACAGTTGTCTATCACTTTATTTCTTTAAAAGTTTAATTCTATTTACACTCACTAGAATATTTACATTTAAATATTCCAACATAAAATTAGGATTATCAAGCAAGTAAAAGCTCCTCAAACGAAGAATATAGTCTGATTTGGTTTTATAGACAAAGAAGATAACTTGAATGTAAAAAACTGACTTAAACAATGCAGTCAGCTACCTGTCTGATTAAGTTTTAGCAGCTATATACTTCTACAAAGTCCTTATCAGAGTTATTTCTTTAAACTCAACATTTACTCACTCAACAGATGGGTTTTCAAAATGAGGAATGTAATTTTACTTTCAATTCACCAATTTTATACTCAACTAGTAGCTTTAACACTTTTTAGAATACATGAAGACATGAATTAAACCATTCTCAACATTTTTTCCAGGACTGTTTGCTAAGTGGCTTATTTTTACATAAAGCTTTCAACATGGCTACCACAGGTACTAAACAAAAATAATTACTTGAAACAATATTGTTTATCTTTTTTTATTTTTTCACATGACATTTCAGTCAATTGAAAGTATAAAACCTACCAAGTAAACGCCAATGTGATATCACTGCTTTTTCCTTCTCTTGTAAGAATCATTACTGTGAACTCGTACTCGCTGGTGCACAGAGGATGCTATTTTCATGCTCTCTTTCTTTGTAGAGGTCTTCTCCATAGCTCTAGGTTTCCAAAGTAACAACTGTGCATCTTCTCCCCCCGTCAGCAAAGAATCATCCTGCATATTCCAACTGAAAGAACGGACTGTAGTGGCATGTCCTCCCTGAAGGCTGGTCACATGGATCAATCCTGATGTGGTGCAATTCATTAAGTGAATCCTCCCCTTGTTTGTTCCTCCAATAACAAACAGTTTATCCAACTTTTCATGATACAGGCCACCAATCAAATAGTCCAAAATATCTTCTTTCATGTTAACTATTTCTCTGACATCCTGGATGTTCAAACATGTAATTGGTTCATCAGTATCCAGATGATTAAGATCCCACCAATAAAATCCTTCATCATGTGTCATGCAGTAAATCTGTTTATAATCTTTCCCAGACCAACCAATACAGCTTACTGATGAAACTGAGTTACAGGTTGTAACCAGTGCATCTTCTTCGTTATCAGCACTAATATCAAATACATTTACTAGGCCATCAGTTGAACCAGAGACCACCATGTTGGGATTGCTGGGATGGAAACGTACTTGAGTGATATCATCACTATGTGTCTCTGAATATGCACCAAGTGGGTCTTTAGTAGTAGACAAATCCTGAGAATTCATCCTTGCATCCCAAAATACCAACAATGCATCATCGTCAACTTTTTCTGTACCAGCACAAATGACATGATCATTACAGTTGATATCAAAACTGATAAAAACATTGGAAGGGTAACCCTTGAACAGCTGGATAGGGTTTTCACTGGCTAATCTAACATCCCAACATTTTACAGTGCCATCAGTACATGCTGAATATACACTGTCACAGGAATTTGCAAATTTGACTCCATTAAGATGTCCAGGAAATCCACTAAATTCTCGTACTACATTTAACCTTTCTTTATCATATATTCTGATTGATCCATTAGAACACAAAACAGCCACCAAGCTTTCTTTTTCTCTTTGAACAGTCTTTGATGTGTCTATGCCAAGAAGGTAAGTGGGCTCTTTAGTTCCTGAGGAACATTTATATATGTGCAGATCAGCGAATTGTTCCTCAATCTTCTCCATATCAACAGGAGCATCCAAGGGTAAACTCTGTAATAAAAAATTTAAAATTAATATTAAACTTGAAGCTTCTCTAAAATTGCAATTAAATCAAGAACAATTTACTCTGGGGGCTGGTACAAAACAATAAAAATAAAATGTATTCTAATATTTTAATCATTTGCCTTCTAATTCATTCTTTAATGCTGAATTTATATATTTTATAATAGTAAGAGATCTAAAAAATATGTACATATACCACTCAGTAGTTCCTTCTAACTCAAATCCAATTATTGGTCCCATTCACAGTGTACAGCATTGGCCAGAATCTCCACTTTGGAATCATCTCTCCTGGCCCCAGCTACCTTATACAACTTCAGAATTTAAATATAGATATATAGAAAATATATCTATATTTAAATCCACACCTTAATCCCTGTAATCTGTGAATATGTTAGGTTACATGGCAAAGGAGAATTGAAGTTGCAGATGGAATTAAGGTTAGAATTAAATCAGTCTAATTCAAGGTTAATCTTAATATAGGGAAACTATTCTAGATTATCTGTTATTATATCGGGTAGGTTCAAAGTAATAGCGAGTGTCTTTAAATGTGGAAGAGGGAGGCCAGGCAAACTGGTTCATACCTCTAATTATAGCACTTTGGGAGGCCAAGACAGGAGGATGACCTCAGCCCAGGAATTTGAGACCAGCCTGGGCAATGTAGCAAGACCCTATCTCTACAAAAAAACAAAAAATTAGCTGGGTGTGGTGGCATGGGTCTGTAGTTCCAGCTACTTAGGAGGCTGAGGCAGAAGGATCAATTGAGCCCAGGAAGTTTGAGGCTGCAGTGAGCTATGATCACACCAAAGTAATCCAGCCTGGATGACAGAATGAGACTCTGTCTCTAAACAAAAAAGTACAAGAGGGAGGCAGAAGACTCTTGGGGAGATGTTACTTAGAAGGAAAGCACAGAGAGATGACACTGCTGGTTTGGAAGACAGAGGTCATAAACCAAGGAACATGGGTGGACTCTAGAGATGGCAAAAGGTAAGGAAATATTCTCCAAGAGTCTTCAAATGAAAACGCAGTCCTGCTGACACCTTAATTTTAGCCCAGTGACATCCATTTAGGACTTCTGACCTCCAGAGCTGTAAGATAATAAATTTATGTTATTTCAAGCTACCAAATTTGTAGTAATGTGTTACAGCAGCAATAGGAAACTAATACAAGAGAGCTTCCCAGTATAGAATCCTGGAGAACTGCTTCTCAGGCAGTAGCATCTTGTAAATGGTGGAACTGGGATTTGAACCTAGCCTTTGTAGCTTCAGGCACTGCACTTTTAACCACCACACTAGATTGCTTCTCCATCGTAGCTTACACATTGAACAAGTTCAAGGCCAGAAAAATATGCATGCTTAGTAACCTTATCACAAATTTTTCTATCACGCTTTTCATCAATGAATATTCTAGCCTGCCTCACAAATTCACATTTGCATTCTTAAGATGAAATGTTTTTTTCTGTTGCTTTAGTGATTTCTTTTTAAGCATCTGTCTTTTCATCTTTAAAAGAAGAAATGAGTACTAACTCAAGAGGTGTTAGGAGGATTAACTAAAATAATGTATGTAATGTGTTCCACACAATGTCTGGCATATATCACAGCACATATTCGATACATGTTATGTAAAAATTACCAATATCACCACCACCAATACCACTTACACCACATGAGAGAGAATTTGGATCTATCAGAGTTGGATCCAAACAGCACAATTAAACCAATGGGCAAAAAATATTAAAAAGATGGATTTGAGTTCAAAACAGAAATAAACACCCCTCCTAACTTTTAAATTGAAATATTTAAAAAAACACTAAAAAGCAAAAATAGTATAACAATTAACACACAGAGAACCCTTCACCTCCTAGGTTAACCGACTGTTAACTTCTTACCACATTTGCTTCCTATCTCCTTACACACACACACACACACACGTGTGTGTGTGTGTCTGTGTGTTTGTTTTTTTTCATTTTTTTTTTTTTTTTTTTTTGAGACAGAGTCTCACTCTGTTACCCTGGCTAGAGTGCCGTAGCATCAGCCTAGCTCACAGCAACCTCAAACTCTGGGGCTCAAGTGATCCTCCTGCCTCATCCTCCTGCCTCAGCCTCCTGAGTAGCTGGGTCTACAGGCATGCGCCACCATGCCCAGCTAACTTTTTCCTATATATTTTTAGTTGGCCAGCTAATTTCCTTCTATTTTCAGTAGAGATGGGGTCTCACTCTTGCTCAGGCTGGTCTGGAACTCCTGAGCTCAAACGATCCACCTGCCTTGGCCTCCCAGAGTGCTAGGACTGCGTGTTTTTGAGACAAGGTCTTGCTCTGTCACCCAGGCTAGATGCCATAGTGTCATTATAATTCACAGCAACCTCAAACTCCTTCTGCCACAGCCTCCTAGGTGGATGGGACTACTGGCATGTGCCATGACACCTGGCTAATTTTTCTGGTTTTAGTAGAGATGGGGTCTTGCCCTTGCTCAAGCTGGGCTCAAGTGACCCTCCTTTCTCAGCCTCCCAAATCCTTTCTAGGATTATAGGCATGAGCCACAATGCCCCCCCCTTTTAAATGAACCACTTAAAAATTAGTTGCAGATGAATTATCACTTTATTCCTAAATACTTTAGCATGAGTGTACTTCCCCAACCTTCTGTTTTTCATGACATGAAATTTTTTGAAAATTCCAGGCCAGTTATAAGATGTCCCACATTTTGGATTTATCTAATTGGTTCCTCACAATTAGATTCCAGTTTAACATTTTTGGTAGGAATACTATTTAGGTGATGCTTAGTACTTCTCATTGCATCACATCAGGGAGGCAGATAATGCCAAGTTTGAACATTGTATAAGGAGGTAACTGGCTACCACACCTCTCCATCTTAAAGGTACATTCCTCCCTTTCTAGTTAGTAAATAATCATGGAGTGATACTTTGAGACTGTATGGTATTCTATTCTACAACAACCTTTCATCCAAAGATTTCACCATCCATTTATTATCCTTGCCTAAATCGATGATTATACTGGCATCTACAAAACAGTCATTTTCTAATTCTATCATTTTTTCTACCTTATCTGGCATTCTTCTATAAAGAAGAGCTTTTTCCTTCTCTGTCTCTGAGTATCGCTAAGAAATTATCATTGTTGAAAACTGGATCATTATCCATCACTGTTTTTGCTCTTTTTGATATGCGAATTGTCCTAACTTTCAAGATTAAAATCAACAGAACTTCTCAAACCATCCATGTACTGTGCATTCTTCAATAGCCGCATCCTCTCCAAACACTTCACTGATGCCGACACAGGAGGATCGCTTGAGCTCTGGAGTTCAAAACCAGCCTGAGCAAGAGCGAGACCCCGTCTCTACTAAAAATACAAATAAATAAATTGGCCAACAAAAAATATATAGAGAAAAAATTAGCTGGGCATGGTGGCACATGCCTGTAGTCCCAGCTACTCGGGAGGCTGAGGCAGGAGGATCACTTGAGCCTAGGAGTTTGAGGTAGCTGTGAGCTAGGCTGACACCACGGCACTCTAGCCCAGGCGACAGAGTGAGACTCTGTCTCAAAAATAGAATAAAATAAAATAAAGTTGTCTGCGCTGCATTGCTTCCATGATGGAACTCATATTCAAAGATAACATGAATTTTTGACTTATCTATGGTTTCACAAAAATTGTTCTAAAAAAAATTTGAAAGATAATCCTAAGCCAAACTGTATATTTGAAAGGATGAAGACATACCTTCAATAAAAATAAACCAAGAAGTGTCAAAGTGAAATGTCAGAGATATCAACTGTTAAACTTAGTTACTTAAGGAAATCGGACATTTCATACTTAATAACCTACATAGCAATAGCTGTTTCTCCTCCTGTAGTACTCTTTCCCTCCATTTTTGCATGAGTAACTCCTTCCTGTTATTCAAGTCTCAGTGTATGTTACCTCCCCAGAGTCCCTCCCCACTAACCAACATAAAGTAGCCCTCACCATTACCTATCACATCATCTATTTTATTAATTTAAAAAGTAAAAATGTTTAATTATGAAATATTTTAAAAGCACAAGGTGTAGGAAAAGTATAACAGACACCCAGATGCATACCACCCATATTTAACAAATATTAACATTTTGCCATATTTGCTTCCATTTATTTAAAGAAATGAAACATTACAGACACAGCTAAAACTTCACTCCTCTGATTAAGAATTTTTAGAAATGACATCACATTTATATGTTATCTTCTTTACAATTTGCACTTTTCACTCTGTATAATCTTTGAAAAATCCTATTTTACTGTTGAACTTATTACCTGAGTCTTTCTTGCTTATTTGTTGTAATAAGTGAATGCATAAATGATTCAACTGTCATGCATTAAAAGCTTAAGAGTTCTAGGAGAAATAGAATAAACCTAAAAGGATATATCATTTATCTTTTTGTTTGCAGGGAGACCTTTGTACAGGGAAATTAGTTTTTTTTAAAAAAGCACTCTTTATAATAGCACTTAAAATAAAGCAAGAAAAGGAAACAGTCACACACTGTATAACAATGTTTTGGTCACTGATGGTCCCTTAAGATTTTAATGGAGCTAAAATCCTATAGCCTAGTTATATTGTAGCCATCATAACGTCATAGCACAATAATACATTACTCATGTATTTATAGTGATGCTGGTGGTTTAAACAAACCAACTGTGCTGCCAGTCAAATAAAAGTATAGCACAATTATGTACAATACATAATATCTGATAATGATAATAAAGACTATGTTACTGGTTTATGTATTTACTACACTATACTTTTTATTGTTGTTTTAGAGTGTATTTCTTTTGCTTATTTAAAAAAAAGTTAATTGTAAAACAGCCTCAGGCAGGTCCTTCAGGAGGTATTCTAGAAGGCATTGTTATCATAGGATATGAAAACCCCATGTATGTTATTGATCTTGAAGACTTTCCAGTGGGACAAGATGTGGAAGTAGAAAGACAGTGATATTGAAGATCCTGACACTGTATAGGCCTAGGCTAATGTGTCTGTGTCTTGGTTTTTAACAAAAAAGTTTAAAAAAAATTTTTTAATAGAAAAATGCTTATAAAATAAGGATATAAAAATATTTTTGTACAGCTGTATAATGCATTTGTGTTTTAAGCTAAGCGTTACTACAAAAAAGCCAAAAAGTTTTAAAAAACAAGAGTTTAGAAAGCAAAAATGTTCTAGTAAGCAAAGTTAATTATTGGAGAAAGAAAAAAAAATTTATTAGTTTAGTGTGGCCTATGTATACAGTATTTAACTCACTTACTCACCAAGAGCAACTTCCAGTCCTGCAAGCTCCATTCATGATAAGTGCACATTATAGGTATGCCACTTTTTATTTTTTTATACCATAATTTTACTGTACACTTTTATGTTTAGATATGCAAATATTTACCATTGTATTACAACTGCCTGCAGTGTTCAATACAGTGACATGTTGTACAAGTTTGTGGCCTAGGAGCAATAAGCTATACCACATATCCTAGGTGTGCAGTGAGCTATACCATCTAAATTGTGTAAGCACAGTGCATCCTGTGATGTCAACATGACAAAACTGCCTAACCTACAGTCCCCAACCACTGCCCAAGGACCTGTACCAGTCCATGGCCTGTTAGAACCTGGGCTGTACAGCAGGAGGTGAGCATTAGGTGAGCGAGCGAAGTTTCATCTATGCTTACAGCCGCCTGGCATCACTTGCATCACCGCCTGAGCTCGCCTCCTGTCAGATTAGCAGCATTAGATTCTCAGAAGACCCTGAACCCTACTGTAAACCCTACGTGCGAGGGATCTAGGTTGCGCACTCCTTAAGAGAATCTAATGCCTGATGATGTGAGGTGGAGCTGAGGCGCTGGGGAGCAGCTGCAAATACCGAGTAGCATTAGCAGAGAGCTCTGACTACATGATAAATGTAAAGTGCTTGAATCACCCTGAAACCATCCCTCCGCCTTCGTCTGTGGAAAAATTGTCTTCCATGAAACTGGTCCCTGGTGCCAAAACAGATTGGGGACCGCTGGCCTAACCCCATATTTCTCATTGTTAAGCAGCACATGGCTATAACTATAACTGGAGTTCAACAAATGCTAGGCTATTTGCTAGAAACTTACATACAGGTTTTAAATTCTAATCATTTATCTTTATGAGAAGTTTTATTATATCATTTTACAAAGGAAATTGAAGCTAAGAGAAACTAACTTGCCCATGCTCTTGTAGCTATTAAGTGAGCATATTAGGAGAGTTTGGTTTGAAATTCAAGTGGTAACTTCAAAACCTGTAAACCTATCTTCATTCTGATAGTAAGCTATTGGTCTTCTATGTATATATTAAAGTACTACTGTCGGCATGGTGGCTCACGCCTGTAATCCTAGCACTCTAGGAGGCCAAGGTGGGTGGATTGCTCGAGGTCAGGAGTTCGAAACCAGCCTGAGCAAGAGCAAGAACCTGTTTCTACTAACAATAGAAAGAAATTTATTGGCCAACTAATATATATAGAAAAAATTAGCCAGGCATGGTGGCACATGGCTGTAGTCCCAGCTACTCGGGAGGCTGAGGCAGAAGAATCGCTTGAGCCCAGGGGTGTGAGGTTGCTGTGAGCTAGGCTGACGCCATGGCACTTACTCTAGCCTGGGCAACAAAGCGAGACTCTGTCTCAAAAAAAAAGTACTGCTGTCAACTTTAAGGGATATGCTTATTAGGCTTTGAGAAAAAGAATTACATTTTAATTCTACATATTAATAGAGGAGAAAGAAAGCAAGCAGTATGATTGTAAAAACATATGCCAACCCAGAAAAAGAGTTACAATAAACAATCATCCTTTACTTTTTATTTTTATTGTGATCCACTTTTCTCTTTAAAAACTTTTTATTATGGAATCTGTATGGGGCAGAGAACAGTAAAAGAAATCCCCATGTACCCATTATCCAGCACCATTATATTCCCCAAAAGTTATAATTAGGGACAGAGAAGTCAATTAGACAAATTTTATTTGAAGAACAATTAAGACATCCAAATGGACAAAATAATGTAACTCCTCAAATTCCCCCTTTCTCCCCACCAGGTAGCATCAATATGGTTTTAGCTCTTGACTCCATCTCTGGGACTGGTACTGATTAGCCTAACCCAATCACACTAATCCCATACCATTTACTGGTTCAGAAACTTTACATTTTTACCAATCTGTACATGCATTCCCCTCCCAACTACAAGCTGTCCAGATCTGGAGCCCTAACTCTAAAGTAGATCTGAGCCCACTGATTGAAAGTTTTATACCATATTTATGAGATTCAACATTTCCTGATTATTTAAGTCAGTTTGCAGCAGAGTTTGTGTAAATGCAGCCAGAACCACCCTAATTAGAGATAATCAAATAAAATCTTGGGTATATCACCAAGTACTGACCTAATTTAAAAAGTCCCTACAAATAAAGATTAAGAAAAAATACTTTAAAAAATAAAATTTCATTCATATTAGAGAGGAACTTGGATCTTCAGTTCTTCCTCTCTCCCTTTTTAATTGTTTTTGTTCAAAAATAAAAAGGAAAAATGAGATACACAGAGGAACTCCCAGAAAACTTTTTATAAAAATCTATGCAATTCGAAACCATATAGCAAGCAATTAAAAAAAATTCTATGCTCAGTAATTACGGTAGGATCCCTGATTCTAAACACATCAACAAAATAAAAAAACAAGTCACTCATATGATACAATATTTAAAAAGCTTAATATAGAATTCCATCTGGCAAGTTTCTGTATGTTTAATAAAATATTTATACTTTTGAATATCTAACATATTCATGTGGTTCAAAATTCAAAAGGTTCCAAAACTACTGCCTTGGAACATTTCTGTGCTCAAGCTCCTTTCCTATTCCAGGAGGCAATAAATGTTAATAACTTCTTATGAATATTTTCAGAGATCATCAATTTGGAGTTTAAGAAGCAAAAACCCTAATTTCAAACTCTTTTTCTACCACAAACTAGTAAAGTCTCCATGCAAAATTTGGGAAATGAGAAGCAACCATAGGGAGTGGAATACACCTGGGATTTAGGGGACTGGGATTGGTATAGGACATTCAGCGCGATCTCTGAAAAGACAGCCCAGGTCTCCCAGCAAGGACTATCTTGGCCCCAGCATGTGACTAGTTTTTGCCAGTGGAAGTGACGCATGCCACATTCAGGCCAAGTGAAGGCGATGTGTCTTCTCCACCTTTTCTTCCCCCATCTGTTGATTCGATGCACGGGACTCCAACCCCCTACAGGATGGTAAATCCATAAAATGAAAGGAATCTGAGTCCTCTAATCACCACATGAAAGGCTATCTGCTCTCCAGGAAACCCTACATTTGACTGTATCAGTCAATAAGCTCTGGACATATCTGAAACATGTACTTTAACAAACTCCAAAACACAACAATTCCAACCTCTTAATATCATTTATCTTTTTAAAAAATTAAATTCAAAGTGAATTTTTAAGAATCAGAATCTCTTGTATTAAAAACCTGAATTTCAGTCATTTATTTATTTTTTGTAGATTAAATCCAAGTTAAACTAAATGTAATACTACTTAGAGAAAATGTATAACATACTATCCCACTTTATTATCATTATTTTTTTAGAGACAGAGTTTTACTCTGTCACCCAGTCTGGAGTACAGTGGTATAACTTTAAACTCCTAGGCTCAAAGGATCCTCTCATCTCAGCCTCCAAAGTAGCTAGGACTATAGGCATGTGCCACTATGCCCAGATAATTTTTAAAAAGTTTTTTGTAGAAACAGGGTCTCACTTTGTTGACCAGGCTGGTCTCAAACACTTAGCCTCAGGTGACCTACCTTCCCACCTCGGTCTCCTAAAGTGCTGGAATTACAGGTACAGGCCACCACACCTGGCCTTACTATACCACTTTAATAAAATTATTTGTATTAATGAATACCTCTGTCCATTTTTATCCTTATATATGCACAGAAGGGTCTCTAGAATAATGTTCATAAAATATATTTAAAAATACCTGGAGTATGTATGTGGGGGGGTGGTCTTCTTTCTAGTTTTTTTCTATATTGCAGAAATTTTCATGATAACTTAATAATAATCCCATGAGTACTATTATGTCCATTTTGCTTATGAGAAAAGCACAGTTAATATGTAGTAAAGCTGGTTTCTGAATTCTGAGTATTCTTGTTGCAGAGCCCATGCTACTAATTCCTACATTATCCTGCCTTTATAAACTTTTTAAAAATAGGTGCATACTATGTTGCCGCTACATAAGCATGTAGCATATTAATTTTTTTGTTTGTTTGTTTGTTTGTTTTTGTTTTTTGAGACAGAGTCTCACTTTGTTGCCCAGGCTAGAGTGAGTGCCATAGCGTCAGCCTAGCTCACAGCAACCTCAAACTCCTGGGCTCAAGCAATCCTCCTGCCTCAGCCTCCCGAGTAGCTGGGACTACAGG